TAACACCGCTATTATCTGTCTCTAGTTTTTTTCTTGAGTATTTTAAAAATGACTTTTACTTACCACTACATTTTATGTAGTGATGATGATTATACATTACTTATATAAAATACCACATTACTAGTTAGAGCGTTTTTTTACATGAAAGAATTTAGTTTATTTCACTGTGCTAACGTGTCTGGTGAATTGTTGCCATAGTCTGTCTGTCTATCTATCTATTTTCAACATAGAACTTTGCACCGATGTGCAGCAGTTCGAGTAGCCACACTCCATGTAACACACAAAACAAGAGAAAAAGTAGAGGAAACTCAAAATAGCGACAGTAAACAGAGATAGGAGACAAAGGGAATAGTAATAAATGAAGAATAATATAGTTTCATTGGATATTATAAGTCACAAGGAGTGGATGCATCTGCGCTGTCATTGACAGCGATTTTGAGCCATATCACCGATTGTCTTCAGTGTTCATTGGTTTTTACCTTCCCGAGGACCCCAACCAGTCAGGCAGTCTACATCCCTCTACATGGCGGCTGGCTTAATCTAACTGTTGTGGATTTGATTGACTGATGAGGCCATATTTTGTTTTGACCACCAGTGGCTTTCTCTTTTCCAACCTGATCTGTCCTATGTCAGCTAACATTGCTTGTTGTCGAGGAAGGCGATCGCTAGGGATGAGTGCGTAGTACATGTCCTGACCATCTCACTTGATTTAACTTCACAGCCTCGTCTTTTGATTTCCCCTCCTTACCTGGCTGGCACTCGGCCGAAGCCTCACCCCAACACTGTTCGCCTTATTCTACCACTTCACACGGGATACAGGACGCAGGCCTCTATGATGAAAGACAACTAGCCAGTCTTTTGATGTCTTCCACTTTCAATGGCTAGGTCTCACAGCTATAAAGGAAGACAGAATTAATACAGGTAATACACTTTGTTACCTGTCGGTTGAATTTCCGTAAACCTGTACTTGCAAACATGAGATCTGTGTATAAATGGGGATAAAAACTCTTTTCCGTATATCATCTTTTGTGTATATGAATGGTACTTTTCACTTTCGTACAGTTAACTGAAATAATCTTCGACTGGTGAGCAGCATTTTTTTTGTATTAATTAAGGAGTTTTATGCCAATGTTTTGCTTTAAGAGAATTACTTGATAAAATCTGTGTTATACAATTTATTATAAACAGTTCATAGTCCACTATATATTTGCTTTAATGTTATGTTGAATGATTTTCATCATATGCTCTTCTTGTTCTTCACCTTTCTGTTTCGCTTTGACGTTGACATGTTCACTTAGAGAATCACTGGTAGACTAATAAGTACTCTGCTGCTGTTTTGTCCTAGTTCTAGCCTTGTCAGTTGTACCGACACACCGGGGCTCGAACCCAGGGCCTTCCGGTTAAAGGGAGAGCTCTTGTTTTAGCGGCTGAATCGTCTATGAGCTCACTCTCTAACCGAAAGGCCCTGGGTTCGACTTCGGTGTGTACTTAGTGTGCAGAAGTCGTCCCAAGCTAGGACGAAACAACAGTTCAGTGTTCCCTGGTCTTCCACTGGTTCTCTAACTGATATCACCTTGTTATGAAACCCTGAGAATCAACACTGGAGATAGACATTTTCATTAAAGTTACAGTTCCCTTTTCTTAATTGTTTTTTCATGAACTTGGAATTTGTGGACAACATTATTATGCTAGTATTAACTTGTTGATACAGGAGGAATGGGGAATTTTTCAACTTAGATGCTTCAGGACTGATGATATTAATACTTTAATTGAGTATAAGGAATCAATATGTTAAACGTAGTGACCATCTTACTTATCTGGCATTCCCATCGGCAATTGATGAAGTTTCATCAGGAATATGTAGTGTGGATTAATACTTACTTACTGATTGCCTACTTGCTAAAGCTGCTTATAGAATCACTGACAAACCCAAATGTTTTTTCTGAATGTAGCGCGGATTCTTCTCTGTTGTAATGCTGTAAAACACAGGCATTTGAATATTACAAGTATCAAGATTACATTGACTGTATTGTCTATATGGAATTTAGGTGTAGAGTTAATTGGTCGTTTGGTATTTTTGTAAGCCGCCTACTAGTGGTATCATTTATTAGCCTAAATACCAATTTTCTAACGTCCTTGTGTTCAGTGATATTTGTAAAGGCAGCTAATGGCTAGTACTAAGACATAGCTTTATACCATTTAAGGTAGTGAAGGTTGTTGTTTAGTGGAAGCTGACTAGCAGGGAATCCAGGTGCACACTTTATCCTTTTCACGGGGCTCGTCAGTCGGATGTGCTTAAATTTACCGATCATGCAGTAAGTCCCATGCTTTCTCTACTGGGACTCGAACTCAGTATGTTTCCTTCCAAACGCTAAAGCGTTATCCAGGAGACTACTTAGACCAGGTCTGAGAAATTTTGCTTTTGTCGATTGATTGGACCGGAATATTCTGTTTGTCTTGATATGTCGGTTCGTAGTACAGTCACTTCAATGATGTCTTAAGATATTTGGTGGATGGTGACTAGCCGTAGAGTTCAAGATGCACATTTCGTTCTGCCTAGGAGCTGATACGTCAAGAGAGACTGCACATTTCGATTCAATCAATCAAGTAGAAAAACAAAATTCGGCTTAAAAAAAGTAATAACTTATCCACCTTACACATGAGGTGGCATTCATTGCACAAGTGGTTTAGTGTGGGCAACACTGATGTTTGAAACGAAGGTGGTACAGAGTTGGTGTCCTTATGGGAAGAACATAACTCATTGGAAGATTACATATGGGTCTCAGAAAGGACGAAACGGCCGTCCTGGACTCTACTAATAGCCGCCATTCTATGAATAACATTAGATTAGCGAAGATTGTCTGGTTGGAGTTCACGATGAAAAAAAAATAATAGAAATCAGTTATTGTAGAGTTTTGTAACATGGCGGAGAACTGATCCCAATAGCGATTGTGTTTGTCAGTAATTTCGTTATTCTCCTCTCGTCACTCCCACCTTTTTCACCTCTCCAGTCTCTGCTACTATTGTTGATTTTCTTGCCTTCTACTCAATGAAAGCCTCTCAGGTGTGTGCGTTCGATATCATGCATGGCTTTTCTATTATTAATAATTTGCATAATACGCATACAACTCGTAATTGTTGGTTTGCAGAAAATATTGCTGAATTCTCCAGTTATGTGTTGATTTACTTACAACCCAATAAATAAATAAATGTATAAATACTTCGTTTACATTACAGTAAAATCACTATGAAGTACAGTAATTAATGAATGAATGAATGAATTAATTAATTAATTAATTATTGATGATTTCATGTGTAAGTTATAAATCCTATATATTGCTAAAATCTTTTAAAACTTTTCCTTAGAATAAGTCAGCACTGAAAATGCTGTCCAGGAAGACAAGTGAACTATGCATTCTATATCTAATGAATTAGATATGAAAGCCAAGATACAGAGATAAGTCATCAAACTTTGGTCCGCAGGGACTTGATTGGTTTCAGAATTAATCACGAATTGACTTCAGTAAGAGAATCATTGAAAACCAGAGAGTACTGATGAGTTTCATCGGTAGGCAGTCATCACACAAAGGACTGAACCTAAGTCGTTCAGCATACAGAGTGAGCTTTTCGACTGTTTAGTCACTGGAACCGAATCCAGTAGCCTATGAATTTTAACTACTGTCACTCGGCGTCCTCGCCACATATCATGATACAGCAGAACTTAGGACTCCTCGGCCATTGGATTCTATCTCAGTGACGAAATGTTCAATGAGCTTGCCTTGTAACCTACCTGAATGTCATCTTGGTCTCATCCCTGATGGGGTGGTTGTGAGTGCGTGCAGATGAAGACTCTTGGACTAGGACCGAAAGGCCATCCAGTTCTTCCTCGGTAGTAAGTGTTCTGGAGTAGCAGTGTTCCTAGTTTAGACTTATTAGCTAGATAACATTTCATATCAATCCACATGTGTATAACATCGGCATTTAGATCTGCTGAAGAGTTACACAAGGATCAGTGATTTACTGGGATTTTCAATCTTTAATAATATAACAGTAATAGCTCTGTTATAAGCAACATCTTGATATATACAGTAATGTATTTCCAGCTTCGTTGTATCTATTCCTTTATATTCAGTTGTTTGCTTGCAAGAAATTGATTTGATTGGTCACAGAATTTCATCATGAGATAACACTGGAATACCTGGGAGTACTGGACAGCTGTTTCGTCCGCCTAGTTTGGGACTCTTCAGTGGTACGCACTCGCCGGGGTTCGAACCTAGGACCTTTCGGCTATAAGGAGAGCTTGTAGACCACTAAGCCTCTGGGGCCCTATCCAATGGCCAGTCCATGAATTCCAACTCACGATATAGTGCTACCATTGGTCAATCTCATCCATGGCAAGTATTTGTCCTTACACCCAACCTGCTGTCCCCACTGCCAGTCATGAATTCTCACTAGAATCCAGGTAACTATCTAGCTGAATAGGGTCAGTCATTAGTGAACATGAGATTGGTATTCAAGTGTTGGTTTACAAGGATTCAATTTAATTGGTTACAGGATTCCACCATGATCTGATGTCGGTTAGAGGACCATTGGAGAACCTAGGAAGGAGTACTGGACAGCTGTTTTGTTTCGCTTATACCATTCGATGCAACATGCTCCTTCCGACATCTAACGTATTTATCACTCCAAAATAGACCAGATGGTGTTTTGAAATCTATGAAAAATCCCCACATGAGTACAGATTGTTCTTCAAGGACGTAAATATATATTGACCAATTAAAACAAACTATACTTGTGAGTAAATTTGACGCGCAATATGCACTTTAAATAATTAGATTGCCAAACGATTTAAACAAAAATCGATTGATCCTTATCTATTTGCATGTGTATAAACTTTCATCACTTTGTTGTTGTTTTTTTTGATAAAAGAGACAGCAGTTTCTTGCACGTTTCCCGATAATTTAAAATTCGCTTTTGTTTTTTTTTGTTTTCTTTTACAGCAGATAATTGTAACAAAGATGTGATAAAATTTTTGAATAGATTTTATAGACTTGTACGTACGTACGTTTTTCTCCTCCTCGGGAATTGCGTTTATATATATGCACGTGTGTGTCTTGCGTATTTTGTGTTTTGAAATAATATTTATGCAGTCGTTTGATGTTGAATGAACAAAATGCATTTTTGACATTTCTTTTCCTTGTGTCTTCTATCTTAAGTATCTTACTGAAAATAATAATTTTTTTGGCTTGAATTAGAGCTATATGCTCAGAAGAAGTAATTGAAGATGAATTAAGCATTGTGTATGATACTTTGATCGAAAATAGCTATCCCGAAAAAAATTTATCAAGAAACATATGAAAAGAAAACGGAGGATAAGAAGCACTCACTATCTGTAAAAAGAAGCCTATTTATATACGATTACAATTCATGGGTGATATACCAAGCGAGATAGTTGTGAAGAAATTAAGAAAATCAGTTCAAAGAACTTTTACTGCTGGCGAACTACACGTATTATTCTCTACACGACCGATGGTGATTCCTCGACTGAAAGATGAAGTACCTAGACTAGACTGGCCACTTCGAATTGTATCTATCAATTCAACTGCACTTGTGGAGTCAGCTATATTGGCCGTTGCTTAGGAACTTGGTTTTTCGTGCTCACTCGAGAACATCTCCCAGCATGGCTAAGTAAAGGTCTAGTGAAAAATATTAACAGCTCGGTATTGGAACATCTGGTGCAAGCAGGCTACAAAGACAGCATAGATGAATCCTTCTCTATATTATACCGGGTGCCAAATACATTACCAAAAGTCATCGAAGCACCGCAGGCTCCAAACAGCAGAGGATATTGTGATTCGCCTCAAACAACCAGCTCTCTGTGTCCAAAAGTGCAAGTCCAGCCCCTACTATCGCCCTGGCTTCAATAGAAGCTATAAAGTCATGAATTTGTACTATTATCTTTCCTAATGTTTCTGACATTCAGCTTATTCTATGTTGATGCTATTTAGCTGTAATCTATTGGTATTATTAGATTCGATGTTATTTAAACAAAATTAATGTTATTCACAACACTAACTCATTCATTCACTATAATGTATATACAACTGTAGAACCTGATGATGACTTTATCGAAAAGAGCACTCTTTGTTCAGTATCCATTCTTTTCAAAATTTTAATGGGCATTTTTAATCAGTGAAGATTATGCGTAGATAAGTTGTTGCTGTTGATTTTTTAAGAAACTTCAACTCAAGTAAATGAATACTGATGGGAACTAGCTGTTACCTTCGAAATTGATACTTCGAACGCCTCGATTTTAGACACCTCTGGAGCTGTTGTGACGTAAGCCTGGCTGTCAAAGGTTGGTATGCAGTGTTTTGGCTACTCTCAGTGCTCTTCTACCCCTGTGAAATCTGACCTCTTCGAGCTGGGGATGTGAGACGAATCTGCCTATGTCAGTCATCACTACCTTCGTGGAATTGATTGTGTTTTATAGTATTATTGTGTGAGTGATTCTGAGGTCCGGTAGCGTTTGTTTGGACACGATGGAAACCATCATTCATTGAGTATAGTCATCTTGAATCACTAACTACGTCAGCTTGGAAATGTATGGATGTCATCCTGTCTGTCTGTTTGTTTTCGACATAGAACTGCTTTGCACCGATGTGCGGCAGTCCAAGTCGCCACACTCCCTCATGTAGCACACAAAGCAAGAGAAGAGAGTAGAATAAATGCATAATAGAGATAGTAAACAGGGGTATGAGGCAAAAGGAATAGTAATAAAGAAGAACAGTATAGTTTCATTGGACATTATAAGTCACAAGGAGTGGATGTATCTGCGCCAAGCATCGAGAACGATTTTGAGCCAAATCACCTACTGTCTCTATCCATCGGTTTTTACCGTCCCGAGGACCCCAACTAATCAGGAGGTGTACATCTTCCTACGTGACTGGCTTAAACTAACTGTTGTGGATTTGATTTGTTTCGGTTTCACCACCACTGGCTCTTTTCCAACCTGATTCATCCTATGTTAGCTAAAATTGCCTGTTGTCGAGGATGGTGATGGCTAGGGATGAGTGCGTAGTGCATGTCCTGACCATCTCACTTGATTTAACTTCACAGCCTCGTCTTTTGATTTCCCCTCCTTACCTGGCTGGCACTCGACCGAAGCCTCACCTCAACATTGTTCACCTTATTCTACCGCTTCACATGGGACACAGGACGCATGCTCCTATGATAAAGACAACTAGTCAGTCTTTTGATGTCTTCTACTTTCAATGGCCATGTCTCACAGCCAGCCATGAAGGAAGACGGAGCGGACGTCTGAGCAGTACACACGCCTTTTAGTCGGTAGACGGATATCACGTGTGTGCCTAAGACGGCGTAAACTAGTGTATGCCGAATGAACCTTGTGTATCCGTGCTGAGTCTTTATCAGCGATCAACCCGTCTGGCGGTGGGCCGGATGGCTTATTTGCGAAGCTTTTATTGTTGCACCTCAACAACATCCTCATCTGAGCGCATACTTCAGTTTGAAGTGATCTTTTCGATTTCTCCACGAGTTTATTAGTCATCTCTCCTGGTGACCTTGGCCACGGATATCAATTCGACTGGGACAACGTTGAAATATTAGACAGAGGAAACAACAAGAATGCTAGAGAATTTTTAGAAACTTGGCATCCCAGTGAATCAATCGTCAGTAAATAAAGGCATTGACATAGACAAAATTTACCCATCGAATAGAAGCAAATCTGACACACAATCGGTCAAAGTTCAAGTCAAGGAAACAGTCAGTTCCGATACATGTAGCCATCTAGAGGGTGTGAAAACACAAAAAGAACCCATCACGTTCAAGGTCACCATGAGGGATAACCAATAAACTCGTAGAGAAATCTAAAAGCTTACTTCAACAAATTGAAGTATACGCTCAGGTGAGGATGTCGCCCAGTGGTGGGGCGATGAAAGCTTCGCAAATAAACCATCCAGCTTAGAGAATACACCTACATCAGAAAGACAGATGTACAGAAATTCATATTAAACTAGGTAACCTTGGATATTAAGTGATCATTTAGGAACAACAATATAATTGACCTTCGTATTAACTCAGCTCACTCGGAATCATCTATATAAATACTTAGAAAAATTATATGAAATTCACAAGTCGACAGAAGTTGTGGGGAAGACAAAAATGATGGAGATATCTAACCAATAATAATAATAATAGGCACTAATCATCACCAATGGGAGAAATCTGATGAAATTTATCCCTCTTAGCGAAATCCTTTCAACTACAGGCGACACATATGAGGATATCGAAACCAATCAGGATTGGAAAGGCAAGATGACAGGATTTCATTACTCTGAAATCCGTGTGGAATTCTACTGCACTCAGTATAAGAAGCAAGATTTGGATTCTCAAGCCAATCAGAGCTTCTGTATATTTCAGAAACTTGATGGGAGCGTCATCACAAATCGTTTCCAATACACTACTGCCTTTCTTTGTCCTCATGTAGAAGATTAGATGACTGGCCGGTTGGAAAGGATTGTCAACCAAGAACCCATCGCCCAACAAATATACACTAAAGAGGAAATGTTGTTAGATTAAACATACTGTTCTGAAGAGACACATTCTACACAGGTCCTCTGGTGGAACCCGGATGTGTGACGACGAGTTGGCGTGTGGTCAAGGCTGATGCGGGGGAGATCGTGTAAGGAGGAATTCAAAGCTTATGGGTAGTCATGGAGCCAGCAGAATGAGGACAGCAAAGAATATAGAGTGAGATGGAGATGTGCCGTTGAATCTCTACGTTCCACCAGAAACTCAAGAGAATAATAGTAATATAAAATATTTCCTTTTACAGCTGTTCTGAATATAGTATCTTGACTGGTAACCGAAGATTCCTATTTCCTCTGAAGAAAAAACTAACTTAATTTATTTAGAAAGTATTTCTGTGTCACCATATCATTCATAAATCATTTTCTCAAACACCACAATGCAACACTTTTTATGACTCAGCGTAATCCATCATTTCTATTCTTTGCTGTTCACACGTACACATATATGTATGTATATTGTCTTAAGCGTAGACGGTTTCTGTAATTTTATCCTCTGACTCGAGCCTACGCTTGTGACGTGTTTCCTAAAGTAAATTGACTGGAGATTGGTGTTCTTACGATGCTCGTCACATGAGGCATTCGCCTTTTTTTTCTACTTTCCACATTCCACATGTTCTCATTATTACAAACAAGTGATTTTTCACTAGTGGATACAGAGCTTGAACACAACTCTGTCTACGTGAATATAAGTATCTAATATAACCGTGATACATTTCGTTGTAAGGCTCAGCTAAATACATATTTCTTATATATATATTATATATATTATATATATATATATATATATATATATATATAATGTAGGAGCCTGCATGTGACCCGCCCGCATTTAGACAGGTTTATATTAATAGTAACTTGAGATAAATCTGAGTAAGTAGATATTGACAGAAAAGAATATTAATATTAAGTTGAGATTAACCATTATTTGTCATCGATCAAAATCCTAAAACCTTAAATCACACTGTCATCAACATCGTCAATAAATTGTTATAATTAAATAAAAAGAGACCACCTACTTACGCAATTAATTCTGCTAGTGTCATGTAATATTGTGTCAATTTCATGCAAAAATCTATTCATTTTTGAAATAATGTCGCATTGATACTCTAGAGTGTTCAATTCAGAAAAATTTTACAGCGGACTGTTGTTGATTTTGTGTTTAATATTAGTATAAAAAAAAGGATTAAGTCGAAAATATTCTTTTCGATAACTTCTTCATCTGACTCTACAGTTATTTGTACATGCAAATAATAATTTAAGAGTAATTCATTATTTTAATGACAACATTGATTTTTTCTGTTTAAATAATATCGAGTTGTTCAATAGATCCATAGATTGGGATTTCAAAAATATGTGTAATCGTGATAATATGCATAAAAACGTAACGTAATACTCAGACAGTCTCTGTCTGTCTGGATTCAACATAGAACTAGGCACCGAAGTGCAGCACTTCGAGTTGCCACGTTCCAAATAGCACACACACAAAGGTAGACAAGAAGATGAGTTAAGAGAATCAATACAGTCTGACAAGTATAAGAGTGAAACAGAATGGGTAATGGTAGAAAGGAATATGAAAGATTACAGAGACTGAATACATCTGAGCTGGCCATTGACAACGATTTTGAGCCATGTCACCTATTGTCTCCAGCCATTGGTTCCTAGAGTCAGTCCCGAGGGCCCCAACCCGAAAGTCTGCATCTCCTACCCTACCTGACTCAGTTTAACTGTCAAGGATTTCATGGATTGATGAGGCCATGTTTTTGTTTGGCCACCACTGGCTCTTTTCCAACCTGCACCTATATCAGCTAATAATGCCCGTCGGGGGAGGCGATGGTTAGGCATGCGCAGCACGTCACCTAGCCATCTCTATGGCATCTATGTAATTTTATAGCCTCGTCGATTGATTTTCCCTCTTTGCCCAACACTACGCCTAACGTCAACATTGCTTACCTTATTAAACCACCTCACGTGAGACAGAGATCGCAGACATCTATGATCGAAAGCAGTCAACCTTTTCATGTCTTCAACTCGTATTGGCCATGTTTCAGAGCCATAGAGAAGGACAGAATTATGAAAAAATCAATGCTGCTATTATTATCATTTTTATCTCCTGTAGTTCGTAGAGGAACATAGGGCTTCAGTCACACATCTCCACTCCGTCCGATCCTCCGGTAACGTTTTCACCTAGCTCCACATCTGTCCACATGCTTTCATCTCCTCTTCACATGACCTCCTCCATGTGACCACACCCTCGCACTGACGACCAACTTGCCGCTTCCCATTCGGGTTGCACTCGACCAATGGTCTGTAGTGTGATATCACTTGATAGTTTTCTCTGAGTATGACCAACCAATCCACCTCCATTTCTTCCTGCATATTTGTTGCACAATCGGTTCCTGCTGGGTTGGTTCGTTCATTGTCAGAGATCCCTGTTGCTGACTTTTTTCTAGCCGGCCATCTGATCTTGAGCGAAGACAGCTGTTGATGAAGGTGTGTAGTTTTTTTCGAAGTGGCCTTTGTGATGCGGCGACAACTCTCTGTTCCGTATGGTAGCAGTAAATTCACATTGGAGTTGAAAATCTGGATTTAATTTTTCATGCGGAGTGCTGAGTGCTGTTGATCTCCACACGGAATTGCGAGTAATGAAAGCTTGTCTTGCTTTCCCAATTCTCGCTTTTTTAATAGAAGTGCTTGGAACCTGTGATAGCAGGTGGAATAGATGTGGGGATGCTGAAAGCTGTTAACTGAAGGGTAGTTAGTAATCTACCGCACTTACCCAAATGACAATCACGAGCACACTGAGGGAGTGACTTTCATGATGTCACCAGCAGCAACCAAGGCTTTTAAACAGCAGAAACCTACCTCTTCCAGAATAATGATAGCAAGATTCATTCAACTTCGAAGGAAGGAAGGCAACAATCATCCAGTCGTTACAATTACAGGTGACAGTATGGATGAAGATGTCAAAACCAGGATGTGAAAGGCAAGTCAGATTTTCACTAATCTGAAATCAATTTGGAAACCTGCTGCTAAGTCAGCCAATTCTTTTATGCGGTTCAAAAGCTTGGCGCCATCATCACAAAAAGAGCACTTCCAACAAGCTACTGCAAATTTTCATCAGTATCTGCACTCATTGACTGAAAATCAGATGGCCTACCGTGAAGGATTCGCAACAAAAAAAAAACTGTAGGAATGAACCAATCAAGAAACTGTTGCTCAAATAATATGACTAAGAAAATAGAGATGCGTCAGACACGCTCTATGGAGACCGTTGGGTGACGTCGCGCACAAGGTAGGACTTCGTGTAAAACTCGATTGGGAAACGACATGGAGGTGATCGTGTAAGGAGGAGGTGAAAACTTATGGGCAATTATAGCTCCAACTAAAGAAGCCTGCAGAGATTGTGCTGTTGAATGCCTTGTTTACATCAACTTTATTGTTGATTATCTTCAAAGTGATTTCAAAAACAGAGCTATGAATAGATTTTGTTTGTCCACCGCTTAACCACTAAGCAGGATGATGCTCAGAAATCTGATGATGAACTTGCTTAATTGATCGCCTAATATAAGTGACTGTATGGGAGCATTCAAACTGGTGAATGCATATCAAGGAGGGGAAATGAGATTGCAGCGTGATGCAGATTGGTAGGAAGCGGCCAAATATTGAAATTAACATTTTAAATCAACGTCTGCAGAGGAAGGACTCTCGCCCACCATGCACATGGTCCGAGGTTCTATCCCCTGCCGACACACACCTGATATCTATGGTCGGCCTGTAAAATTTGGGCTACCGATATCCATGCTGAAAATTCCATACTTGTACCAAAAATACAGTGTGGAATCAAGCTGTAATAAAAAAAAGTCTGGATCGAGTTTATGTTGTGGACATGAAATAACCTCATTAGACAATTTATTTGACCTTGGGCCGGTCGCCAACCAATCAGAGCAGCTTGTTTTTTTCGCCGATCTAACCGAACTTTAATGTGGAGTTTTTCCTTAATAAAGAAGTCCCTTACCAAGTCTCTTATCTTCTCTCGTTACAGGATAATTTATGTTTAATTCCCGAACGTAGAATTGTTATCATTGATGTAATCAACAAGAGGACTGCAGTTTGAAGAACAAGGGCTTCTTCGAAGTCATTGATATGTTAGCTGTCTTTGGCGTTAAATTCATATTTTTGTCGATAAACTTTTCTGGATTTTCATTTTCCCCCGGGATTTCTCTAATAATCTTGACTACTTCATTAGTACAGTCATTTGAATGGATTAATCTAGCTCTGAAATCTAAACATAGTTTGATAAAATGTTTGATTCACAAAGGTACGAGACTCAGGAAATGAGTCTACTGACCATTGAATGTATATTTTCTGTATATACAGAAGTGTGTCTTTAAGAAGTTTACTGATGTCTTAAAAATCATGTACAAAAAGCCTCGGATATAGTTAGCACAAATTTTCACGAGGCATATTATCAATGCCAGTGTAGTTGTAAAATGCTTCTATCTCCTCTGTTTGGTGGTACGATCGGGTGAGTAGTATAGAGGTTAAGTGTCGAGTTTTAGGTAAGGAGGGAAAGACAATCAAAGAAGTTGTGAAGCTTTGTCGATTGAGAAGGCTACGACACATGCCCAACCATCACCTTCCTCGACAGGCAATGTTAGCTGACGTCGGTACAAGTTGGAAAGTAACTAGTGGTGATCAAACCAAAACTTGGAATCACGAGATTTTTGACAGTTAGGCTGAACCATGGAGAGAGGTGTAGGCTTCTTGTTTGGGTCATCGAAATCCTAAGAACCAGTGCCTGGAGACAATTGGTGGTATGGCTCAAAATCGTGCTCAGTTGCTCACTGTTTGTGATCTCCCATGTCTATTAGACCCTCATGGTTTTCCAAGTTACTATTCTTTCACCCTCACATTTCTATCTATCATTGTTCTTTCGGATCTCTTTCCTTTCTGTTCAACGTGGATGTAGTGTGGCAAGTTGAACTGGTGCAATTCTGTGCAAACTTCTATGTTGGAATTTGTCAGTCAGTTGTAAAGTGTTGCGCACACAAAATATTTTATTGAATGGTTCCTCTTCCTGCATCTGTGTATGTGTTCGACCCGACCTATCCCCGACCAATGGATGCTTTAACTAAGTAGTCGATTAGGATGGGACTCGCAGGATCGCTCGAATTCCGACTAGTCCTAGAAGGTATCGTAATTTTCATGTTTGGTGTTATTTTAATCACTGATTCCTTTAAAACCTTATCTTGTTTTTTTTCCGACCAAGTATTTTAACCTTACAAATAACTAACTTTATTTTTCGACCACCTTCTGTCCTCTTTTAGATTTCTGAACGACGTCACAAGGAGGCATTGCACTATTTCGAAAATGATTTCGCCACCTGCTTAAAAGCAGTTAAAAGTAAGCTAGTTCGTGTGAATTTTGTTTTTTTTTTTCTGTTTATGCCTATGTGATATTAGACTGAAAAGAACAAGAAGTTCAGCAAAGACGGCGATCTTTTCGGCGATTTCATTCTCAAAAGCAGCTGTACAATCGCATTGATGTAGATTAGTTTACATGGATACAATTCTAATTTGTTTAATTCCACATAGTAACGAAGGTGATAATAATTTTCGACTTGATGTATGAAAGTTTGAAGGTACGAATATAGATTACAAGGGGCTTAGAGACAAGATTTCATAGGATTAGAAAACAGTTACAACGTATGCAAAAACTAATATTTGATAACTGGAGAAATAATTTTAAGTCAAATAGAAGGTGATAATTATTTTCAACTTGATATGAATTACAAGAGGCTTGGAGACGCAGGGATAGAACGAATTACAGGTGTGAACAAAATAAGCATGGAAACAAATTGAAATGGTAATTTTCAACTTGAAATGAGATGGAAGTTAGGAAGTGTTAATATAGATTACAAGAGGCATAGAAACAAAAAAATTACACAGGATTAGAATATAATTGTAAAATGGTTATTCTAAACGGATTACAAGTGTGATCAGGAGGAGCATGGAAACAAACTTAAAATAACTGATTTTATAACTGAAAAACATGGGATGAATTGAATGAAGACGAAGGGAGAAAATTACACACACAAATAACAAAACAAAAAACTGAAGGGAACATACCAAACTAGGTCCATGGTAGTTGTAAAGGCTGGACTAGTTTCTTTTGAATACATAGCTCCGGCTTTTCGATGCGTATGGCGAGAGCTACCGCAGTACGAAGAAGTCGGTAATTTTGGTAAATTTTTGTTTATTTTATAAATGACTCTAAATGATGAGTCGGCTGAGATTCTGTGACAGTGTAACAACAGAAAACAAGGGCCAGGCAACAGATCGTTTTATTACGGAAATCAACACGTATTTATATAATTTCTCATACATTATTATAGCCTAGTCAAGCAGATAAACGCAGTCTTCTGATTGGTTGTTTTCGAGTTCCTCGGAAAGTGGAACCATCTATCTGCGAATCATATATGCCCACGTTTAAGTTTGCTGTGATTGGTTGTTGAAACAGCCTTGTTCATATTTTCTCACGGCCCATATTAGTGACTCAGACATTGACGTAGATTAATGTCAAGCAATCGGCTAGCAGGCTGCTCTCACCACAACAGGTATTGACGAGATGTTCAATTATTGCGCTTCTGATTGAACCAGTGCCTCCTCTTTGCAGCCACGCTGGATGATGTTCTCTAATACGTTTTGATAAGACCCGCATAAAAACAACCTATATATATATATATATATATATATAATGCTGTAACGGTAGCAGACGAGAGACGTGGTAAAGGTATCTCTATATAGGGAAATTATGTACACCTTATCTTCAAAGGACCATTTGCATAGATCTTCCATGTTGGTTGTGCTACTTCTCGTCTTCCTTCATATTGTGTTTCTTTGTGTTCCTTTCACGCCTCCCATGTATCTCTGCAACGCTGTATTATTTGCTTTCTCTAACATCGAATCTATATCCCTGTTATTTGCTGTTTTTTTATGCCGATAAACATCTCTTTATATGTATACTACTGATAAATTTTATCAGTAGAACACACCACTGTACCACCTTAGATAAAATAATAAGCAGCACTTTTGAAGTGTTACTCAACACACATTCAGCCAACGCTCTCTCTGTATGTGTGTAAACACCACCTATATGAAGTTGGCTGTTATCTAAGCCTTGTAGTGTATCATAGTTTCTTAACGAACACAGATTCCTTCATAATAAGTTATGCTAAGCAAAAAGCTATACCTCCTTCCTACCTACCTCATAAATAATTTACAATAAGAGTTCTAACGATTGTGTGTGGTTAATCAAAAACACTTGTGATGCATCGATGGTTCAATGGTGGGCATGCTTGACTAACCAGTTCTCACATAGTCAATGATTCGTTTCCTTGAAAATATACCTTTGCTTTCGTGTTTTACCTTCTGCTGTTACATTTGGTGTCGCTGCCTGCCGAGTAGTGGAAAGCATATGCCCTGCAGAAAGAGACATACGGATCTTCCGGCAGGATTTCGAGGCTTTTGTGCAGTTGAATGGCGTTCAAGATCCGTCAACGATAAGGCCGTCACTTGGAACGCTGTTGGGGGGGAGGTCGGGCGACGGCAGCATATGATAGTGTGAGGCGAAATACTGGCGAATACGAGCCAGGGTTATACAAATCGCTTCCAAATTGGGGGGGGGGGAGAATCATACATGGTCACCGTGAGAGGGAATCACGTATATACTACCAGAAATGCAAACAAAGAGAAGCGGGTGAATGCCACCGTGCTCCGGAAGTGGAAACAACAAGACAAGCAAACAAAACCGTCCGCACCAAAAAGACCTAACCGACTTCAGTTAGAAGTCTTTGACGGGGGGATAAGTGTGGTGGTGTGATACAGACAATGTGTTCCAATGGAATATTATTCTTACATACTACTGTAACAGCAGAAGACAATACACGGGAGCCAAGGTATATTTTCAAGTGATCAAACCGCTATTTATATACATACAGTTATGTATTCTTTAACCAATCACTGAACCTGTGATTTCGGTTTACATTAAACAACATAAAATAGAATGTTCAAATATACATTATATTCTGTTGCTAATGCAGTATTGAACTGTGGGAATAGCATTCCGACGTCAACACCAACAGATACAATGATTCTTACTGTGAGAATAATATTCTGTTGGAACCCATTGTCTGTAACACACCACCACAGTAGAAGTAGCAGGATGTTCGAATTAGGCATAAAAGATGTCGAGTTATTCCTGTTACACAAAGATTCAATTATCTACTTTTCCTCTTTGTGTATCATAGTTTTTGATCCTGTTCTTCAACTTACGTAAGAAATAACGAAACTGAAGTTTTGGTTTGTTGGGATTTGATTGGTTACAGGATTTAATCATGAGCTGATATTAGTTAGAGAACCATTGGAAAACCATCAGGAGTACTGGACAGCTGTTTCATCCCAGTTTGGGACTCTTCATCAGTACGCACCCACCACCAGGGTTCGAACCAAGGACGTTCTGGTTACAAGGCGAGCTCGTATACCATTAAGCCACTGGGACCCGATCAAGTGGCTAGCCCATGAATTCTAACTTCTGCCAGTTAACGACATAGCGTGACCCCTAGCAATGTCTTCGGCGAGTATTTGTCCTCACACCCGACCATGGGCCATTGGATTGGGTCTCAGTGGCTTAATGGTATACGAGCTTTCCTTGTAACCAGAAGGTGCTGGGTTCGAACCCTGGTGATGGGTGCGTACTGCTGAAGAGTCCCAAACTGGGATGAAACAGTTGTCCAGTACTCCCTGCAGGTTTTCCAATTGTTCTCTAGCTTATGTCAGCTCATGATGAAATCCTGTAACCAAATAAGGAAACTATTATGATTTTTACATAAAGAAATAAAAATGTGGAGTGTAAAAGCAACAGTCTACTAAATAATTATTTGGTTTATAGAGCTCTCTTTAGTGTATAGGAGAAAACTGTGCTTTTTTTGGCTCTCATGATCATGATCATAACTGTTATTTCCACAGCTTTGTTATTCACTCATATCTGTTAAAGTTAATATTCTTCTTTAATCCTTTTATCCCTTTTACAGGTGAGTCAAATCCCAAGAATCGTAGTATTTTATATGAAGAAGTAAGTGGTTAATTTTAAATTTTGATGCATTTGGTATTTTATTTTTTTGAATTTTGCATTGTTGTTAATGTGTTTGGTTGATTGATCGATCTCTCTATTGGTATATTGGCTTCTAGAACAGACACCCTAGATGATACTTTCACTTGATAAATATAAAAAAAAGACTTCCATTGTACTGGAGTCAGTGTGCAAACGTAGACTGTGATCATCTGGATCCAATTAAACTAACAATAGAAGATTCAAAAGTTTCAAGAAAATAATATTCGATACCTAGTGCTCATTATTATTGTGTGGATAACTTTCTTACGTTTGAGATGATGGGTGTTATATTACTGAAATGTATTAAGATTGTGATTACCTAACTGACTGGTTGACTGGCTGGCTGGGTTCCAACATAGAACTTTTCCGTGGAAATGCAGCAGTTCAAGTTAGCACACTCCCTATGTAACACACAAAGGTAGAAAAAAGTGAGAGAGAAAGGAATAGCTTAAAAAGAACAATAACGAGAAAAAATGAACGAGAGAAAGTGGAACAACTTATAAATACCTGAGGATTTAAAGGATCTAAGGAAGTACAGTGAGTGAATCCATATGCCCTATTGAGAACGATTTTCAGTCGTATCACTGACAGTCTCAAGCCAATTGATTCTTAGTATCCTTGAGGACCCAGCCAAGTCGTCTACACATTCCCATGTGGCTAGCTGGCTCAAAGCAAAGTCGACGACTTCATGAATCGATGTCATATTTTGATTGAACCACCTCGAACTCTTTTGCAATCTAATCTTAAGTAAACTAACCTATTGTTTGACGAGAAAGGATATTTCTTTGTATGCGTAACGCATATCCTAACCATCTCAATCGGTGTAGCATCACAAACCCTTATCGATTGATTAATTCTGTTTACCTAACCCTCTACGCCTATTCTCAATGCTTAAGATTTGAGTTTAATGCTGACTTATGGCATCAATCTATCGCATCTGTTTGAGTTTTCATGCCAAAATTTGTCGACGACATTATACCGTTTGTTCACTTTCAATCTCTTAATTCTTCATCGATGCAGTACACACCAATTGTTAAAAAAACGGTTTCCTACTTCACTCCTATATCTGCTTTATTACTAAATTTGTAATAATTTTGTTAGGATGGAGGATTTCATCATGAGCTGACATCAGTTAGAGAACCACTGGGAGTACTGGACAGCTGTTTCGTCCGCCTAGCTTGGAACTCTTCAGCAGTACGCGGTGACCTGGGGTTCTAATGGGAAGTCGTGACCAGTAGGGTACAGCAGGTTGAAGATTAAGCAGTAACTCATCGAAGAAGACATTGCGAGGCGGTCGCACTATGTCGTGAATTGGCAGAAGTTAGAATTCATGGGCTGGTCATTGGATCGATCGGGTCCCAGTGGCTCAATGGTCTACGAGCTCGCTAGTCTTGTAACCAGAAGGTCATGGGTTCGAACCCTGTCATGAGTGTGGCGTACTGCTGAAGAGTCCCAAACTAGGGTGGGCGAAACAGCTGTCCAATACTCCCTGATGGTTTCCCAGTGGTTCTCTAACCGATGTTTAATTTAGGTGGGCGGCGTGATGAAATCTCACCACAGTTTCCTTTGGAACCCGAAGTTATTCAGATTACAATAAATAATGATAATAATAAACAGTAATCAAGAAAGCAAGCATAATTTAATGGAACTATATACTACTGATTGATTAGAATGAGTAGTTGTATATCAATCAAATCAACCACTAGTGCTGCTTGCTAACAAAATTGAACTTGATTTTATGGTATTACCAATTCGTCCAATTAGCTAGCCAGAAATCGGGTGGTTTGAGCCGGTTCAGCTTTATGATCTTAGTCCTACTGGGTATACTGTTGATGAACTCGGACCCACACTAGCGAAACAGCTTCCTAGTGTTCAGATCATTTCGATCTGGCTGGCCAACCAGAAAGCACTACTGGTTAGTGTGGGTGTTATTCAACTACTCGTCTCAAGCAATCAGTAGTATATTGCCCTATACAATCTATTGAAAACTGCTTAGATAATTCCATTCCATTTCACACAAATTTGTTTTACTTAGTGAATAGACATTTGAGAAAAATAGAGGACATCAACATTTAATGGTCAGTTTAAAATGATTAATTATGGCGAATGGAGTGACTGTCCCACAATTTATCTCTTTTATTCGTAAAACTTAAGATTTACACTTCTGAACTTTATACTCCATCTTTGAATCAACTTTAGACTGTACATCTTCATATATCGAACGGTACATGAATTCTAAAATCTATCAATTCTGCTATGTTTCGTGCCGTTGCTGACTGACTACAGAACGACGTTGCCTGGAACTTCTAGGGAGAAGTTATAACTGTTAGGGTCCATCAAGTTGAATGTAAGAACAAATACTCTCCAATGACATCGGCTTGCTATGGCGCCATATATCTCGGATTAGCAGAAGTTAGAATCTTTGGGTTGGCCATTGATTTCCATGGAAGAGGCTGATTTGTCAACGACCTTGCTCACCTTTCAACGGGAAGGTCCTAGGTTCTATCCTTGGTGGTGGTGTGATGTCATGACTGTATACCGCTGAAGAGTCTCAAGCAAGGTCGAAATGACTGTCCAGTACTCCTTCTTGGTTTTTAAACGGTTCTACAAGCTGATATTGACCCGTGACCAAAGATGAAAGCAGTCAGACCCCTACAAACCAACACTTGATATATATATATATATATATATATATATATATATTCACTCGTATATCAAACCTAGTTGTTTTAATCTGCTAAAGCTTTATTGGTGGGTTTATTTTTAATCAGTTTGTAAAATATTCCGTCTTTTGGTTTGACGTAAGTGCGTCGGGTGGTTCGCTGACAGAATGCTTAAAGTTAAAATTCTAGCACCACTAACTACCAATCAGCAAACGACTTTCAACGGACCAATCACATAGAAGAGGGATTTTTGGTAAAGGCAAACGTATATTTATGGGAAAAAAAAAGCATAAAAACTGCATAAAACTGTTACATAGGGTATCTTTCTGTAACATATGAGGGAAACATATCCCAGTTAAGCATAGGAGTGCCAATAGAAAAGTCACACCACATTCTGTACATATATTTGTCCAAATGACTATAAATGAGATCCATTTATAGCCCAAATCCTATTTTTCAATCTTCGCCAAAATCCTTCAATAGAATTTGTATGCGTACTCGTAATAGGACCGACAAAATCACTGGAATGGTTCACTCTGTGATGAATATATCCAAGGGATGACAAGGGGGTTATAACCTTTCCATTCATCTGTATGTACTATTGATCCCTGTTTCACAAGTCTGGTAGTAATAGGTATTAAAGTAGTTGCCTTTCTATCTGGTATTATCTCCACGATTCACCCAAACATTGTTGGCTCGCTCACAACCACGGTTGTATTTTTTCTTCAGTAACGCAGTTACGTCCACGTGTACCACGATGCCTTCTCCGCCTAACAGCGAAGTAACTCTCTCCATTTTCCGTGATGCGATGTCTCTGCAGTGCTGGTACCACTGAACTGTTGATACGAGGCTATTTTCGGTTTCAGCAGCTACGCCTCTCACAGGCTGTTTTAAAACCCAGTAGTTGTAAATATACAAAATCTGCGTTAAGGAGAGGTGCGACCTAGCAAAAAAATATTCCTACGAAATGTTAAAATTATCAGCTCAAATTATACAACAATGAACAAATCCATCAATCGCTCTGCTGAAGCTTTTTAAGCCCATTACACCACCGCATGAAAAAATCCTATCCTTCCTAAGCAACCTCAAATCTAGGCAATACTGCAAAACATTATCTTCCTCGAACTGCAAGCGTAACTTCGTTAGAGCACGCATTTGAAACAAAATCAAGCTCTATAAAACCTTGGACTCACCTTCATAAACCTCATTGGACCATTACAGCTCGTTCGCTGATTGGTAGTTACTGGTGCTTAAAGTTTAACTTGACCATACTTACCAACCACACCTTACGTGGTTCAGGTTCGATTCCCGATCGACGGTCTTCTTAGTCTCGCTTAGCTAATGGTAAGACCGATGTAAAGGGGAAAGGTTAGGCGTGAGGCTAGTAGCCACACCCTGTCAACAAGTCTTATGTTCCACTCGAAAAGGAAGAAGCAATAGGAAAAATTCCGCTGTAAATGATCACAATCGAATTTCTTTTTATCTCTTCTTTTTTTAAATTCCCTTTCCTTTTTTTGTTGTGAAACAGTTAAAATTCTCAATGGATGAAGCAGAGAAAATCAAAGTGAATCTAGATTCAGCTGCTGAAACTGAAGGTTTTCAAGTTGGTGAAGAGGTGTTGGATGACGATCAAGAACAAGGTAGGCGTAACACAAATGCATCAGTATTTAATTTTAGCTAATGTGAATAAATATCCTGCTCTTCATTTCTCACCTACAATCGATATATAACTAGAACTGGCTTTAATTATCATTTTCTTTTTCTGTGATTGACATTATACCATTTTTAGAATTGTGTATGTGTGCGCGCGCGCGTAGATTTTAATTCTTGTGACTTTAAATCACTTAGCATAGAAAACAGTATGAATTATGACGCAGTTAAGATATCTTATGCAGAATATTGACTGAAATAGATTATTATACAGAATGAGTAATGAATAGCTTTTCTAGCATCTCAGTAAACACTTTTATCAAATTTGCACGAATTTAGCTGACGTCATGTTAGTTCATGAACTGAATTCAGTTAGTCTTACTTGGTGACACTTCACCCCTTTTCACTAATGACCCCACCGGAGATCAAATCCCAAGGGCATTTAGGTTACAAGACGAGCTCATTGACCATTCCAGCCACTGGAATGGAATCCAATGGCCTCTAAATCCTGACTTCTATCAATTTGAGATACCGTCAACTGATTTCATCGGTGGGTATTTATCCTCATGCCTAACTTACTGGACCTCACCGGTAGCAACTTCTCATTGAGCTAACTTCAATCAGTTAGTTACCTAATTTGGAAACATCATTGTTATAAGATGATTAGAAGCAGTCGGTAGAAATCCCAGTCTTGTGCTAGTTGGCACTCACCAGCAAAGCGTATCTTCAGTCTTCAAGGAGTTCATGTCCCCTTTGACATTCGAACCCGCGTCACTCGGTGCAACATTCAGAGACATTACCACTCAGCCATTCGGGCTGGTGATTGGCCTCCTGTAGGATTGCATTGGATACTTTCAATAAACACTAACCGGTGCCATGCGTCTACACCAACCAAAGGACTAGATGCTATTAATGCTAGTTAGTGTCCAATGGAAGTAATTTGAAAGCACTTTTGACATTTCAGGGCAATATCAGTAGTATAATTAGTAAAAATTACTTTGAGTGGTTAATTAAGTGTGTTTAGATCATTGGTAGTTTATATTTACTGCTTGTCTTATGAACTGACATTTTGATTCTATCTGACAAATTACAAAGATCGCAGTGGTTTTATAATTTCCCTTTAGTAATTCTGCCTACTTTACTATAATAAAGTAGTATATATTGATTGAGTAAAAAAACAAAATTGCAATGGTCTTAGGATTACTGAACTGGATAGTTAATCAGCCAGTCTGTAGTTATGTTATCGATATTCATCACTTATGGATTTACAGGGAGGTCATCCTTTTTTTTTACATGGAAAGCTAGTTTTTGCAAATGTTTTTGTTGTGATGTCACTTTTATATTTCTTAATAATATTGAGATTAAAATAGGGATGACGTGGTGGACACTGACGCTCTCTCTGATTACAAGTGCCTCTTGACTACTCCAACAACATCTGTATGACAGCTAATCGTTTCCCCTATCCTACTCTACTTAAACGAGAATACCCAATGACGTGAGCCGAAAAGTATGTTTCAATATCACCCACAGTGTATTTTTACACAATAATGTATGTTTCAAAAAGTCATCAATTATATTTCAATCAGTGTATAATTATGATCAATAAAATAGTGGACGTTGTTTTATGCGGGCCAATTCTGATTGGCTTATTTCTAGACTGACCTTGATCATCATATACGCTAGTAAAGGATAATCCATTGATTATCTGTCTGGTTACCAGTGTTGTGTATATTCCTTCGCGTTTCGTGTGAATGTTTCAGGTGGGGCTTGTGTTGTTTTTATGGGATTGGGTTGCTAGCCACTCAACTACTCAGAAGTTCACTCTGTTCTCATTTATGGCTGACTGTGAGACATGGCCGTTGAAAGTGGGAGACATGAAAAGGCTGGCTAGCTGTCTTCGATCAGTGGCATCTGCGTTCCATCTCCCGTTTGAAGTGGTATAATAAGGAGAGCAATGTTGAGGTTATGCTTCGGTTGAGTGCTAGGTAAGGGGGGAAATCAGTTGACGTGGCTGTGAAGCAGCTGCATCGATTGAGATGGTTAGGACATGTGTTATGCTTGCCTAGCCGTCGCCTTCCTCGACGAGCAATGTTAACTGACAAAGGATCGGGGAGGTTGGAGAAGAGCCAGTGGGGATCAGATGAAAACATGACTTCACCAGTCAATGAAATCCGCAAAGGTTAGTTTAAGTCAGTCACGTAGGGAGACATAGACTTCCTTACCGTCTGGTGTCCTTGGGATGGTAAAAATCAATGAAGGATGGAGACAATCGGTGATGTGGCTCAAAGTCATTCTGAATGGCTGGCACAGATGCATTCACTCTTTATGATTTATAGTATCCATTAAAATCCTAGTTTTCTTCCATATTACTATCCTTTTTCTCTGACTCCCACCTTAACGACAGAAGGCAAGAGTCAGGCAACAGATTGTTTATTAAGGAAATCAACATGTATTTATATATTTTCATGTACATTATTATAGCTTATTCAAGCAAACAAACACACTCTTCTGATTGGTTATTTCTCACAGAGAGTTGACCTTTCATCTCTTTGTGGCTGTTTCTTGAATGTATGATCATCTATATGTTAACTGTATCTGCCTACGCAAAGTCTTCTGTGATTGGTTGTTGAATCAGTCTTGTTCATATTTTCTCACCATCAATATTTGGGACGTACACATTGACGTAAATTAATGTCTACCAATTTGGCTAGCAGCCTGCTGTCACCACACCACCTCTGTTTATTACCTCTCTTTTGAATCTCTCTTTACTCTTTTCTCTTGCTTTGTGTGTGCTAAATGGAGTGTGGGAACTCGAAGTGTTGCACATCGGTCTAAAGTTCTATGTTGAAACCAGTCAGTCAGCTACACAACCAACCTTTTCTTTTAAATCGGTTTACTACCGGCTAGGCGAGGTTTAGTAGTGTGTCAGCCGGCTGGTGGAAGGATGGTGCATTCTACTCCTGAACCACCGATGAACTAGAAAATTGTTGTCCAATGGGGCCCAGATATGTGTGGAAGTTGTACTCTTTTATACATGTTTTATTATTATTATTATTTTTCTTTTTCATTTCAGATCACTGTTCATTTATGTGATACAGGATAGAAAATTGCCGTTACCCAACTGGTCTTCAAATAATAACCACAATAAAAAAATAGCACAACGATCTAACTCACTAGAGTTAGACATTAAAGATAACTGTATAAATAAATATAATGATAAATGATGGCTGGCCTACAGTGCGAATCGCAGTTTTGTACATTTTTAGGTATATTTGTTTTCCTCTTCTTATCCCATATTTTCATCAGATATTGAAAATTGAGTTTTTTTGGCGGGGGGGGGTTGTAATCTTTGTTACAAAATACCACTAACTTATTGTTGTTTGTCTATTGGGTTTTTTTATATCTCTGAAGGAAAAGCTGAACAAAATACTCTCGTGTTATATAAACATGCAGCATGTGTTATTGTGATGTTTTTTAGGGAAAATGTCTTTCATTTTGAATTCTCTTCCTCTCTTTTTGTATCGTTTTTTTGCAATAAACAAAAGCCGATTAGCGTTTTCTTTATTTTAATGCATTATCTCAAGTATTGGTTTGTGAGGGATTTTTTTGCTGTTGATTGGTCGGAGGATTTCATCATGAGCTGACATCGATTAGAGAATCATAGAGTACTGAATAGTTGTCTCCCCACCCCACTTTGGGACCCATCGACAGTTGCCACCTACCGCCAAGGTTCGGATCCAGGACCTTCTGATTACAGGGCTAGTGAGCTCGTAGACCATAAAGCCCCTGGGACCCGATCCATGGTCCATGAATTGTAACCTGTTAATTCACAACATAACATTAGCCAGTTTTTCTTTAACGTTCTTGAGTGAGTGGGGATATGACTTTTGATGGTTGTTATGGGGAAATAAACATAAGTATTTATCAACCTTATACACACAATCATCAATTAGGAGATGAAAAAGAAAGATTAAGCCAAACAGATTCTCTTCGATAACGTTTTTTCACTTAGCTCTACACATAATATCTCTACATAATATTTAGAGGTTAGTTGTTAAGATAAACGGGAATTACAGTTCAAAAGCATGTCTGTAGGTGACAGTATGCTTGAAAATGTAATACTGATTTGAATATCGGATAAGATTAAAAGGAAGATTAATGCGACAATTAGACCTGCTGTATTGACCCCACGGCCTGTCATCACTTGCCACTGGAACCCAGGTAACTACCTACTTGAATAGGGTTCTAACCCCAGTACCTTCCGTTTACAAGGGGTGTTCGTTGACCATTGAGCCACTGGCACCCGGTCCAATGTCCAGTCCATGGATTCTAACTTCTGCCAATTCACGATATAGTACGACTGGCACTAGTTAATGTCATCCGTGGCGAGTATTTGTCGTCATCACACCCGACCTGCTGTACCCCACTGCCGGTCACGACTTCCCACTAGAACCCAGATAACTATCTACCTGAATAGGGCTAGTCGTTAGTGAGCATCAGACTAACTAATTAATTAGAGAACAGTTAGAACTGATGGCTCCAATGGCAAGGGAAAAATTGTCAGATTTTTATAATAAAGTAATGATGACTATAGAGTAAGGAATGTAAGATGATGTTACAGGACTGGACTACACTGATTCCTAGTTTAGAAATAGGGAGTGAAGTGGTAGAGCACGTTGAACGCTTCACTTATTTGGGAAGTACCATCAGCCAACGTCAGACGGTTGATCTCTGACGAAATCTCAAAGGGCTAGTTTCGCATATGCCAGTTTACGCCGTCTCTGGCGTAGACGTGATATCTGACTATCGACCAAAGGGCGGGTGTACTGCTCATCAGTCCGCTCCGTCCTCCTTTATGGCTGGCTGTGAGACCTGGCCATTGAGAGTGGAAGACATCAAAAGCCTAGCTAGTTGTCTTTGATCATAGTTACCTGCGCTCTAACTCCCGTGTGAAGTGGAGTAATAGGGTGAGCAATATTGAGGTTAGGCTTCAGTCGAGTGCTAGGTCAGGAGGGGAAATCAATCGACGAGGCTGTGAAGTTACACCGATTGAGATGGTCAGGACATGTGTTACGTATGCCTAGTCATCGCCTTCCTCGACGGGCAATATTAGCTGACATATGGTCAGGCTGGAAAAGAGCTAGCGGCGGTTAAACCAAAGCATGGCAGCAGTCAATGAAATCTACAACAGTTAGTCTAAGTCACGTAGGAAGGTGTAGACTTCCTGGTTGGGATCCTCGAGACGATAAAAACCAATGGTTGGAAACAATTGGTGACATGACTCAAACTGATCGTTCTCAATGACAGCATAGATGAATCCACTCCTTGTGACTTATGATTTTGAAGGAAACTATATTGTTCTTCGTTATTACTATTCCTTTGTCTCACACCTCTGTTTACTGTCTGTATTATGCATTTCTCCTACTTTCTTCTCTTGGTTTGTGTGCTGCATGGCAGGAGTGTGGCGACTTGAACTACTGCATATCGGTGCAAAGTTCTATTTCGAAAACAGAAAGACATAGATTAAGGAGAGAGTATGTACAAACTTCTAATGAACACATAAGTTTAGCTTCTTCAGGTGTATTCTGACGACTTCAGCTATTTACAGTAGATGAACTAGAAGGGGGAAATTTAAATTAGTCGAAGAATATGGTGGATAAGTTTAAATGTCTTGTAAACCTCGACTTCATTGTTCAGTATCTACGATTGCAAGCTATACAACACAGCTACGAATAGACCTTGTTTGTCCCTTGCTTAAATACTTAGAAGTGTGTTCCGAAATCCAGTGTAACTCTCTCCAGATAAGTATTACACTCTAATGCGTATTGTCAACTGCACACATGCTTTTGAACACTAATTCACTGATCTTAAGGACTCGGTATTTTTTAAGAAGAAACATCAGTACTGTCAGTAGAAATTACTCTTTATATATTGTTGTGTATGTATATAACTGTAGGGTCAGGTGAGGGAGTTATCGAGGAGACTATTCTTTGTTCAGTCTTTATTTTGTCCTCTGAGTATCTAAATGGGAATGTTCGCTATATTTAAATCTTCACTGATTTTTGTTTCCTATTATTACACATCAGCCCATTTTCCTCTCACCTTGTCATGGGGGGGATTATGGCATTTTATGGTTGTTGTTGTTGTTGATATAAGGAAATATACATGAGCACTAATCAACCTTAAACAATATCGGGTCTTTAAGATTAGTGAATTACGGTTCAAAGGCATAGATAGAAATGTAACACTAAATTGAATATTAAGTAGAATTAAGAAGGAAGTTTACGCAACAATTAAAGATATTTAAAACAACAATAATAGCTTGGAAAAGATTTTTGGGAAAGGTGAAACTGTTAGATTTTTATAATCAAGTAATTATGATGGTCGACGAGATAAGGAAGGCGACCGTACGAACTATTTCCTCTGAACACATGTGGTTGGATTACAACGGCTTCAGCCGTTTGTGAAACGATAGGTACTGGGCCCGAGACTCCAGTCGGCGCCTATTCAATCACTGAGAATTGCAGGCATATCTAGATGATGAATCGCAAATAGAACGAAACGGACATCCTGGATCCCATTGCTGGTAATCTTCAACCAAGATATTATCATTTTAATCCTTAGGTGTTGTAACAGCTTCCGTACCAGGAACTCGTGGCATGACAACAGAGACTGGACATTTCGGTTCACCATAATCCGCCAGCAGGAAATGCAAATTGACCTAAAGTCAAATTAGTTTTTATTGATCACTTCTGATCTGTCTCATTATCGTGCTTATCAAACGTTTCTGTCAACTATATCTTATCTCGAAGTCAATTGGTGAATGGTGACTAGCAGTGGAGTCCAGGATGCTTATTTCGTCTGTTTGAGACTCGTCATCCGGATATACTCCTGCATTCCCCAGTGAGTGATAGTGTTCCCACTGAGGCTCGAACCCAGTTTCCATAGTTCTAAATTGAATTAAATTATGCCTTATCTTACCATATACTTGATATGTGATTTACTCAGCAACTCCTGTATGCTTTGCTTAATTAGTTCATATCTTTTTATCATAAAGAACGTCGAAATCCTCATATCCACTTAGGGGAGAAATGCTTCAGAGGCATTTCTAAGATCACAGATAAAATCAAATAGCTAATTGTTTTCCGACTAATTTTATATGAAAGTAAGTGTATAAAAACGTCGAATGAAAATGAGCTTTCATCCGAGGAAAATAGAAATAAGGTAGAAAAATCAGCTAAACGTTCTGTGTAGAATACGAGTAAACTTTACTATGGAAGAAGTTTGAACAATAAAGTTTGAATGTGAATAAAGCGAGAACTACAGTTTTTGCAGAATAAAGTGGTACCATCATTTATTTCGATGCCTTCTCATCAGCTGCTTACAGGCTGTAGTGTTTAACACTATATATATATATATATATATATATATATATATATATATATATAGTGTTAAACACTGTGGAAACCTTCGTATTCAGATGAAAGAGAGATGAAAATATCCAGTGACCAGGGCAAGGAAAGACTGATAACCGCTTATTTCTGAATGCACAATTCAGGCGCTTGATGGAGATGGCTTTAGCAAACTTGACAAGAATTGAGCTGTTTTACCTATTGATAATTTTGAATGATTTTGCCACGTCCACCTCATGACCCGTGTCAAGAAGATGTCTGACGATGGCACTGTTTAAAGCACTTGTTCCCTTTAGACATAAGCTTTATGGTATATGTTCAGGAAATCGTAGATATACCCTTCTTTCTGTCCTTCCAGTGTAACTGTTTCCGCAGATACATGTAAATTTTTGTATACAGTTGGAGTTAACATGTTTTGCTTAAAATGAACTCTGTGTGCAAGTATGTTAAATTGTTTCTGTAGATATACTTAATAATGACTATGACCTGTAAGCAGCTGATGAGAAGGCAACGAAATATAAATGATGGTACCACTTTATTCTGCAAAAACTGTAGTTCTCGCTTTATTCAAATTCATTAAGGGGAATAAATGTATGAAAAGTTTGAATGTATTATCTGAAAGGATGATGATGATGATGATTATAAAATGTTTTGTTCACCAGTTTTTAGGGTTTCCTTCTTCCTGATATTTGTCTCTCAGTGGATAGTAATACATTATCGTGACTACACTGCTGTCGGTCAAAGATGAAGTAAATTTACAAGTGTTATTAATCATTTGAAGCCTGATAATATGTAGCTTAGACTAAACATTATTACTATTATTCCACTGAGTTCCATGTGGAGCACGAAGCTTCAGCGGTACACCTCTATTTTTTCTTGTATTCTTGCTCCCAAGGCCTTACCGCATTATCCAGTCCATCACAGTTAAGAATATCATCAGTGATAATAGCCCTGTCTTACTCCAGCATGCACTTCAAAGGCTTCACTGAGTTTTTCGTTTTGGACCACTCGACATGTGCATTGTCATATGGCTGCTGGATGAGTTTGATAAAGATTTGGGATACTCCAAATTACTTAACGGTCAATGACGTCGAAGTCGATACGATTGAGGTTGGGAAAAAGTCTGACTGCCATTCTATACTCTTTTCGATGATGATGATGATGATGCGTAGAGTTGCAATTTGAT